GTCGTCGTCGTAGTAGTCGTGGTAGTAGTAGTAGTAGTAGTAGTAGTAGCAGCAGCAGCAGCAGCTGCAGGAACACCACTATCAGGATCCTCAAGATTGGCTAGTCCAATTCCGGTGGTGCGCATGCCACCAGACGGTGCTGGTTGTTCGGGTTTCAGCAACTCTTACATGTTTTGCATACCGTATTCTGCAGCATGCCATCCCCAAGTGATGTGCTGCTACTCTCAACCATAAAGGCCCCACACATCCAAATCCCTGGTCTGATTTTTCGGTTTGTAGGGTTTAGGGTCGTGAGGGTAAACCCTAAACCCTAAACCCTTGCAGCTGTCCGAGGATCCAGCGCACGTGCTCATTGCCCGAAACGTTTTGGCCTTCGCAGGCAGATTCGGTGGTTCAGGAGGAGTATTTCCGATTCAAAGTGTAGGGCTGTTTGTTCGGGCCTCAGGGCCTTGGGGCTTGGTGCATTCTGGTTGCTATTTGGGAGTTGGGGGGCTGGAGGCCGAAACCTTGAAGCCTGTCCGGCATGGGTACATCGAAAACTCATTCAGAGCTCATTGTCGGGTTCGGGTGAGTCGTGCTCGATTCCTAAAGCCCTAAACTCAAGATGCAACCCGGAAGCCAGAAACTGAGCCCCAGAAACCGAAACTGAAAGTAACGTTTCAGCCTTGGACACCCTCGACTCCATCAGTCCAGCCTCTTCAGATCTTGCAAAGGTCATCACGCCATCATGTAGCCTGGAACTCTCAAATGTCCCAATGCTAGGTCCCAAACGCACAAGCTTGAGCGACATACATACCTGCCCATTGGGCCTTGCCTGTAGCCTTTTGGGTGCAAGAGCGTGAAGCACCTTCCGGACCGCTCCTAATGGGTTTGGAAGCTGTCCGGGGTCTCAGCGGATTACAAGATTTCGGCTGTCAAACCACATTCCTAGAGGACCTCTTCGCTCATATAAACCTTGTGGAGCCCCACAATCCTGGCACAACTGATGAAGGAGAAGTCTTACTAGTAGCAAAGTATCAGAAGCAGATCTACACCCTATAGGCCGTAAGCCGATTTTCCATCCTTGAGGCCTCGAGCCTCCACAGGTCACGGTGTGGACAGGGCTCCTCGACCCGATGTCTGCAGAGAGAGGGGGATCACGTTTGGAGTGTAATCTTGTTCGGACGGGGGGATCGCAATCTAGTTATGAAAGCCGCTGCATCATGGGGTACGGTTTTGGAGTTGACCGGGATTTGCTCGGAGAATTTGCGGGTTTGTGGATCAGGATCTGGTTCCATATTACAGGCGTCGTAGCCCGAATCAAGCCAACCACCCGGATAGACTCCCTAGACGTGGCCAACCTCAAACCACAGCTGGCAGCTCTTCTGATTCTCAGGCACAGCACCGACCTGCCCCGCACCGAGCTTCTCGGTACCTTCGGGGCAGAATAGACCCGCTAAGCTGCAGGCTTCCAGTGGTATCTCCCTGTAGCAGGTTTTGCTCCTGCATTCAATTTGTCGTAAGCCAGTCTTTATTGATTAATCTTGTAGGCTCGAAGAAGGATCTCAGTAAGGCTAGAGTCTTGAAGAGTTCGAGAGTGCAGGGTTGAGGGCTTCCGGGTTAAGAGTCTGGCCAGCAGCAGTTTGGATTTGATGCTTAGTTCAGGGCTTCAGCATGCAATGGAAAACCGGAGTAGTGTGACCCCACGTGCCGGGAACAGCGTTTCCGGTTGAGGGTTTCGGGATGATGAAGGGCGATGTGGTGGGAAGATGCCGGACCAGATAGAAGGGTCGAACCCCCTTGGATGGCCATAGAGTTTAGCAGCAGATCGTCTGTTTGAAGGAAACATTCTCCCAGAGCCGGCCTAGAGCCTAGAGGCTTGCAGGTTTTAAGATTTCAAGAAGGCATGATTGCCAACTTCTCTGCGAATCCAGACGGCATGCGTAGACTCATCGGTGCAGAAAGGCTCCCTCGACTATCTGCACACTTCAGGCGGCGGTTTACTGCTAGGTGTTCATTGCTTAGCCTTATGGGTGGGTCGAGCACCCAGGACGGAGCCTTCAATCCATAAAAAGACTCAACGGCAAGAAACTGTCCCGGGCTTCGGAACCAACATTGATTTCGGAACCTTGATCGCATTGCTACATGCCCCTATGCAGCTGTAAGCCCCTCGTAGCTTGAGACTTTGCGGACGGCAGGGCTCAAACCCCTACAGGTCTTAGGGACTTAATCGGTTCTTAACAGCGTCGAGATTGAGTGCCCGGAACATGGTTTGAGACATAAGGCTGGAGGTGGAGCAATTGTTCTCCCACAAGTAAGACAGCATTCCCATCGCTTCCTGCAGCTGCAAAGTTAGTCTGAAACCTTAGGATTTAGAAAGGGAAAGTCTAGGGTTCAGGGAGTTATTTTGGATAGTCTAGGCTCCCGACTTCATGTTGAGCATTCATGCATGTGATCGTCATGGTGTTCCAGGCGAATTACGAAGGCGGTGTTGGCGAACTTCCTCTTGGCCTACGGACGTTAAGTTTTTGGTGCTTTCGGAGAAATCAGCAGCTTCAATTTGCATCCTGTCATTGGATGCCAGTGGGCTTCGACAGATCGTTAGTTTGCGTATATGGCAATATAGATAGGATGGGGACAGCAATCGCAATCAATTTCAGAGACAGTATTGTTGTTAGTGTGCCAAAGATCATACAATGATGGCTCTGTGGAAACTTGAGACACCCTTAGCCGAAACACTACCTAAAGCAAGCCCCATGAGAAGCCTATACCACAAGGCACTCACCACAGCCATGGTAAAAGGCCCAGACAACCTTCCAGTATCCGTAGAGCCGGGTTCGAGACCCTCATCTCCCATATTCCACCGAAGCCCTATAGACCTCAATTCTACCTCAAGTCCACAGGCGCGCGCGGATCGCATCCCGCACCTTAAAGCCCTACACCCTACCCATAACGCTGTGGCCCTCCAGGCCTTAAGACCAACCACCAAAAGCAAAACACCCTAGGACGTAAACCCCAAAATTTGGAAGGCCCGGCAGCTTCGGCTTCGTGTTCATGGACCAGCGAGGTTCGCTCCGAGCTCAGACTAAAGATACTCGCTAGAAGCCGCCTGGCCTTGGGGCAACTAACGACCCCCAAACGGAACGTGCACCGAAAGCGTACCATGAACGCAAAGCATCTCCCTACTTACTTGTCTGACGGTGTTGGGAGTTGGACCGTCCGGTTCTTGTTTGTTGCCCCTAGTCCAATCATAGGAGATTCCGTGACTTAGAGCAGCAACCCACGGATTTCATCAAATTATTAACATCTGAAACAGAAGTGCAAAGACAGCGATTGTTCTGTAGGCCTGAGCGTCAAAGGATATTAATTATATATATATATACATGTATATTCATTTATTTGTTTGTTTATACACTTGAGAGAATCTCTTTGGGGACCTTAGTCAAGAGAGTCGGCAAGCCAGAGCATGAGCTTCTCATAGGTGACTGTAGCGCGGTCTGGTTCCTACCGTCAAGGGAGCCCTGATTTAGAACGCCGCCTCAATGTGAATCTGCGGAGAATAGTGCAGAACGGAGAGCCTGGGCTAGATGGAAAATAACGCGATTCTTTGGGCAGTTTCTAGGTGTTCTAGATTGTTCCGGTATTGTGCTGGCATTGGGCTCCAGGGTTTGTTTAGGGTTGGGCTTCGGGGTTCAGCCCCCCCCATGGGCTAAACCCGCGAGCCCTAAGTCCCCGAAATTACAACAAGTCGCACTTCGTGCGAGTCCGATAATTAGCATTAATCTCTTACAAGTACTATACCACTACTATTCAATTCCCAGTACCCTTTGTTGCCATGAAGAACCAAGGCTATATCACGAAGACCTTGACGCCCTAGAGCGCCCGCAGCCCCAGATGCGGGATCCTTTACAGGGCTTCTTGCGAATGCATCCAACTGCATGTTGAGTTCACAAGTTGCATTGCCACATATATGTACAGATGCTTACAACCGAACTAATTATCCTATACACGAGGAACCCCAGCGCAGATCCCGAACACTGGGCACTGTTTGGGGCCCTGCCTTTAGTTTGAAGCCAGCGGGGCCAAGCTTGAGGCGTGTTTTCTACAAGAGTAAACAGGGGTCAGTGGGAAGGACAGCGATTACGGAATTAGGGACCACTTTGCCGCGCACGGCGCATTTCTACATGGATGTCACTATTCGGAGTTGCACAATGGATCTAGAACTTCGACGTGCTGACGGCTTCAAGTGCTTATCAACGAAGTCCTGTCGAGATTTCTCAGCAAGGCAGAGTCAGGGCCGGGTCCTATGTCTATCCCTGAAACATAAACCTGAACACCTTGTCGGCACTATCTAAAGCCCCAAATCTACAAACAGAAATCCGCAACCCCGAAGCCCAAGAAGCCAGAAATTGCCATAAATGTGAACCTCCACCCACAACCTCAAAGGCTTGGCCAAAACCACTAGTCCACTCGCTCTTTAGTTCAGTCCTTTAGCCCAGAGCCCGAAAACCAAACTGTACATCCTCTGAAAAAATCAGGGGCGAAGCTTCTCCACCAGGGAGCGGTGCTTCTGGCGGATAATGCCCAGGGCCCAGCAGCCACCCCTTTCAGGATTTGGACATATATATATATATCATATGCAGATATGCTTACCTGAACACATATCTCTTTGTTTGAGTGCCCGGGTGTGGACTAATGTTGAGGTTTCAGGCATGACCACTCAGATTTCTTGGCAGGGTTTTATTGCAGCCCGCTATCAGGATGTGTTTTGTTTGTTTTGTTAGGGTCATTCGGGAATAGGCTGCGCGGCTGGAGTTTCAGAATTTGCATTGGAGTGATTAGTGTTTGGGGTCTAGGACGTCCTATGGGGCTAGATCGACACCATGCCTTTACCATATACATGTGGGGCCGCAGGCAGAACAGGCCAGCGGCTCAATGTTTCTTTTATTGAGCCCTGTCTTGTGGCAGTGTTTTTAGGCTTTACACAGATGGGGAGTTTACAACGTGCCGCTTTTGGTTCGAAGCGATATCTAAATGGTGTAGAGCGGTTGCCCTAACATTTTATCTCACCACATCCCGGACTCGGGTAATAGCAACATGAAGTCTCGTGGAGGTGTCGACAAGCGTGATGCAGCCCTGGGGCCGATTAGTGAAGCCTTACAGTGCGTGCCTTGCAGAAGCAGTATCCAACCAGGACCAATACTCCAAAGCCCTACGCTCTGTACAAACAAATCAACCTTAACATCTAGATACTACAGCCTCTACAGCCCAACGCTCTGAACCTTCCTTCCGTTAAGCCGGTTGCTGGTCCAGAGAGGTTCTGAAGCCCGGAAGCCCACTACTTCTTTGGCGTGGGACACTTAGGGGTTTGGGGCCCGAGGCACAGGTTTTCCAAGCATG